AGATAAACGATGCAGCTTCGTGTTAGCATTTTAGTCGGTCACACATGAACTTGTTTCAAATAAAAGAAGGTGATACAAAGTGTAAAAGAATGAGATTTGAGGACAGGGAGAGACACGAGAGGCAGCAGAGGGATTAAGGCAGGCGGGGAGAGAGAATGTGCTTTAGGCTACATAAATATAACATGAACTGTGTTCGCAGGTGGCAGGTGGGGAAGCAGCACAATGCAGAGGAGCCATGTTCAGCAGCACTTTGTTCAGCAGTGGAGAATAGACTTTCTGTGCCTCTTCACCTCAGGAACTCCAGGCTTTGATAGCTGGGAGACAGAGAGCGGACTGATGTGGAAACAGCTCGCAGCGCTCTCTGACCCTAACTCCACTCTCACTCCCTCTCAGTCTTATTCCTGTTGCAGATGCTCTCACCTCGCATTGTGTCGTCGTCCAGCTGACGCCACGTGAGCTGCGAAAATCCTCAGTCTGGATGGAAGGAAAAAAGTTTGAAAAAAAAAATGAATTCCCATTTTCTGAAGGCTGAATGTTTATTAAAAGTTTCCCCTCAATTTCATTTAAAATCAGTCCTTACATTATTTATTAATTAAGTTGTACTTTGTACTTTTATTTTGAATTGTCGTCATAAAAAAACCCCCAGAAACATAAAATTAGCTTCTTATCTTTCTTTTGAAAGGACATAAAAAAGCGAAAACATGAAAAACAGATTCTGTTCTAGTTGCTAAAACCTGCATCTGAGAAAGTAAGTGCACCTTTCCTGCTTATGCCAGAGGTTCACTAACTAACCAGGAGTTCAGGCAGTTTGCAGCTCAGGAGCAGAGAGGAGCGAAAACACAACGCAATGACTCATCCATCCATCCATCCATCCATCCATCCATCCATCCATCCATCCATCCATCCATCCATCCATCCATCCATCCATCCATCCATCCATCCATTTTCCTTCAAACATGGGTGAAAGGAGAATTTGAGTCTGTACAACAAAATGTTTGCTGAAAACATCTGTCATTATAAATGTTTACCTTCTGGGCCGATCAGCCAATCAGATTTCAGCGTGGGGCGGAGTTGATGAACTGTTCGTTCCCATAGTAACATGTGGTTTATTTTAAGTTTTTAAAATGATTCATAATGTCTAAGAGTTGTGTAACTCAATCATCCTAAAAATTTGTCTTAATAAATTAGTCTAATGGCACATTTTTGTTTAACTGTCAGAGAAACTGAACACAATAAAAATCAAGAAGAGAAAATCATTATCATTTTGGATACATTTCTGAAGATGTGGCAGAATGTGTTACTTATGCATAGCTATTCAGAAAACTAATGAAATTCTAAAAATATTCATGTAAATGTTGCCTTCATGTAATATCTTATGCAGGTTTAAAGTTTAATGTAAGCGCAGCTCACTGAATAGCCCAGTGTCCAGCCAGCAGTAGGTTTTATTTAATGTGAAGGTGTAAGATCAGTGGGATCTTCATGGAATCACCTCCGGCTCCTTGTTTTCCGTCTCGCTGCTGTTAAGGTATGAAATCTTTGAGCCAAATCCCCATTTTGGAGCCATAAAGCTACATCTGCTGCTGGTTTATTCCATTGATGTCCTGTCTGTATCAATTCCCGCTGCATGTCTGTTGGCGGACTTATTCAGAAGCTGCTGCTTGATGTTCTCTTGTTGTGTGCATTAAAAAGCCAAATCCTTGTGGAGATGACAGAGGGTGTAATCGCTGGCTATGTGATTCAACAATAAGGCCCTTAGAAGCCATTCAGAGTGGGGCCTGTCCTTGACCCTTAAGGAGCTTGTAATGTGGGCTTTTTTCCCCCGCTCTTTGTATTTACAGGCACAAACGGGGAGGGGCGCCGGAGGTGGAGGGGGGACCGACCGCTGAGCGGGGGCTTTTGGCCCTCCATGCCACTGGCAGCATACAGGGGGAGCCTCACACACACACACACACACACACACACACACACAAAGACATGCACACAAAGACATGCACACATGGGTGTCCTGCATGGCCAGAGTTGCATAGTAACTAGTTACATTTACTCAGTTACAGTTTATTTGAGTAATATTTTGAGAATGTGCTTTTTACTTTTACTCGAGTAATTTAATTATGAAGTATTGATACTTAAGTAACATTTCTGGATATTTGACTCACTGTGAGTAACTTCACCAAATGAAGAACAAGATTGTTTTAATAAAAAAAAATCACCAGATTCAGTCAACCTGCACAGTTTTAGTTTCATAAGTTTTATATTGAAAAACAAAAATTGGAAAAAAAATTATTTTCTCTGATTTTGTTATTTGTTTATGGAGCCTGTCTGGTGGGAGAAAAAAAAAATCCAACATAATCATAAAACGTTAGTTGGTTTTTTTCTCTCCAACAGTAACAGGCGTGCTCTGTAATTTGAATGAAATTTATATGAGTTATTTTCATTTTAGTCTTTCAACTACCAAACTTTCCACATAACTTTAAATTTTGGTCCATCTGATGATGGGATTTCTAAATGTTAAATGATAATTTTGACTCAATACACAGGAAAACAGACTGTCTTCTGTCAGAGGCTTCTTCAAATTCACTGTAATACAGACTGCTGCAGAACATCTGTCCTGCAAACAGTCATCACCATCCACAATACCTCTATGAATGTTTTGAGTTTATATGAGTTACAGCAACATTTAATTTTAATATAGTTGCTTTGAATTGAATTCCCACAAGTCTGAACCAGAAGTGATCCGGGCCACTGAGCCGCCATGTTGGTAGGCAGGGCGCAGAACAGTGATCAATCAATCGATCAGATTTTATTTGTATAGCACATTTCAGCAACAAGGCATTTCAATGTGCTTTTCATCATTAAACATAAAAACACAGAGTTATGCAACATTGAATCAACAATCAAAAACATTGTTGATTGTGATGCTTGTGGGCGAATATCCTGAACGTTAAGAAACAGGTCATATTTGAAAAGATCGGATAGTATCGGATTTATGAACACATATCCAAGTAGAGTGGGTTGCATTTGAAAAAAATGTGATCTGTGTTGTTTATTGTCATGAAAAGATCAGATTCGGGTCGCATATCGGGTTTGGGTCACTTCAGGCTGCAGTGCAAACGCAGCTTTAGTTGGGTACATTTTTAGGTTACTTTACTCACCTCTTGCTCATTTCATTTTGGAGGGAAGGCTGAAGGTTTGCGGGTGAGACAACTGAGGGGATGGAGAGAGAAAAGAAGTCCTCCTCCTCCCGCCTCCAGCAGCTCCAGCAGGGGTCGGTCTTAAAGGCTTCTCTGCCTCTCCGCGGGGAGGGCAGGGTGTGGTAGGGGGGCAGGGAGGCTCAATCTGTGGCCCCGCTGGTCAGCACTGGGAGCTCCACGTTGCTGGGCTATCCATGACAACCAGAGCGAGAGACGGGAGAGGGAAAGTCAGGGAACATGGAAAAGCTCAGCTGCGGTCAGAGAGCGCTCGGTTGGAGCAGAGAGACGAGAACAAAGCACCCAGTGATTTTCATTTCTCCCTCTTTGTTTGCTTTATATTGTCCACAGACGTGTCCCCTCTTTGCTTTACTGGGAATAAAGGAGCTTCAAAGGAGACGCAGCCACACACAACCATGTAGACATAAATGCACACACATGTGTGGCTAATTGAATTATGTGTGTACAGTGAGTCAGATGCTTTCTGTTCGCCGTGAAAGCAGCTCTCTGAAGGGGCGCAGCACTCCTAAAGGCCAGCGGAGGACGCAGAGAGGCACATTTTAAGGAAAATGTCACCAGATTTTAAACCGAGGAGTAACGTTCCCTTTACACAAAGGGCCTGCTTGTCTGCACTCACTGCCAGATTGTAAGTCAGTGTGGTCCAGAGAAACAACAGAACATGAAGGTTAAACGGATGTGAAATCAACTTTTTTTGAGTTTTACATCATGTTTTAATGTTATCTCATCAAAAACATACTTGGAATGTTGTCTTGATTCTTACATGCATGTTTGAGCAATCCTTTAGTCTCCATGGCAACCATTCAGCTGCAAAACGCCTGGTTGGACCTAGATCCACCTTCAAGGCACAGCTCCTGCTTGGAGTTGCAGTTTCCATCTCTGCTCCTTCAGACTAGCCTGCAGCAATTAGCAAACACCTGGTGGAACTGAGTACCTGCTGAGCTCATTGTAGGAACTACGTGTCAGTGAAACGCTGGTAAAAATGTTAAATGGTAAATAGAGGAGCAATGGTGTGATGACTTCCTGACAGCAGTTCTTAAAGAGACAGAGTCCCAATTTCAAGATGTTAAATTACAAAGTAAAGTTATTTTAAGGTATGTTGGATCTCTATAGCTTTTCATAACAACTGAACATAACAGCACCATTTTAAAGTGCAATCAAGTAACTATGTACCTGGAAAACACGTTACTGCCACTATGTTAAGTTTTAAATTTCATGCATCCATCCTCTGGTCTGTCCATCCAATGTGCCCAATCCATAAGGACAGATATATTCAGTCTAATTCTGTTCTCTGACAAATACAGACATTTTTAGATTAATTTCAGAAATTTAAAAATGAATTTTCTGAGCTCGAGAAGTCAAACATTTACAAGAATAAACATTTTTTTAACCTCAGAAATTTGCTTGAAAATAGCCTGGAAATTTCTGAATTTCAAAAGTCAAATTTGTGTAAGAAAAAAGTCTGAAGCTTTAATATTGATAAAATTCAAAGCTCAGAAAGTCAAGAATTGCCAACTCCAGAAATTTCCCCTTTTTTTTTGCAGAAAATTTCTGACAATCATTTTCTCCCATATCTTCAACTTCTGGAGTTCAGAAATTTCTACTTTATGCAAATTAAATGTAACTAGTTACGACCCAACTCTGGCCAAAAATGAAAATGAGTTTGACACATCTGCTCTGTTGAGTCCAATTCCAGGTTGCAGTTGCGCCATTTGGCCACAGCTCGCCGCTGTTGCATAACTCTCCTCCCCTGCCTCCCCTCTCTCCCTCCCTCTGCCCATCTTGCCTCTCTCGCTCTCTCCCTCTCTCTCTCCTGCCTCTCTGCCTCAGCCAACCCGGGCTGTGCCGAGCTGCTCCCTGCGGGATCAGAGCGCTCCCCCGCCGGGACCCTTCTCTCACATCCCCCTGCTGGGACGCGGCTACATTTCCAGCCAAGCACTGCCTGCCTTGGCTTTATTATGTGTGTCTGCGCCGCAGCCCCGCCAGCAGAGGCAGGCAGAGGAGGAGGAGGGAGGCTGGTAGCCAGAGTCAGGACAAAGAAAAAGCAGGGAGACAGAGGCTAGCGCAGGGTTAGACCGCTCCAAACATCAGCCTGCCGTTTATTAGGAAATATTAAACAGAACGGCTTGTAAAAGCAGCTTTCCCCTCGGGGTGGAGAGGCAGGGGGGAAGGAGCGCACTGTCCATGCCACCAGATCCACAACACCTAGAGTAGAAATAACGGACGGCTCTGCCCGGTTCGGCTCCTGGAGGGGTGGGGGGAAGAGAACCAGAACAGCCTGAAACAGTGACACTAAACTAAAGAAGCTGAGAGGAAGAGGAGAGGAGGAAGAAGGCGCGCTTCAATCGATAGAAAATATTTGAAAAAAATACCCGAAATACCAAAAACAACAATCCGTACGAGGTGCTGGCTGTCACTTCTCTCTATCGCAGCGCGTGGAGGTCCTGTCCAGGTGTTGGTTGGTGTTTTTTTTTTTTTTTTTTTTTTTTTTTTTTTTGGACGCGCGCGTGGGTGGCAGCTCGCGCACAGGTCCGTCCGCGAGCGCTGGAAGAGGTCGGAGAAAGCGGAACGCGTGCGGCAGCGGCGGCGCGGCAGAGAGAAGAGAAGAAACAAAATCAAGGTTGTCGGAGTCGCGGCGAGCGAGGAAGTTGTGTCCGCTTCTCCCACAAAACGCAGCAGCAGCGGCAGCTGACTGGCCGGACTGACGGCAGTGACCGAAGCTGCCGCATTGCAACAGGCGAAGAAGCAGCGAAGAGGTGGTGGAGGTGAAGAAGAAGGAGAAGAAGAAGAGGGAGGAAGAGGAAAGGACAGCCCGGCTGCTCCGCCGCCTGCATGGGAAGCTGAAACCAGGAGCGGAACGAGAGCAGTTAGAGAAAATCCAGGTTTCAGGGCGCAAAGCGGAGATGTCCAGACGGAAACAGGCCAAGCCGCGCTCTGTTAAAGGTAAGAAAAGTGCTGGTTTGGGAGCGGAACCGGAGTTTGTGCCGCTGCAGCGTTGACTCTTAATTTAATTTAAGTTGATTTTCCCCCAAAGGGCTGTAAGCAGGCTGTGTGAAGCTCTACAGCTGCTTGGCTTAAAACCTGAAGTTTACTGAGTCAGACTGTGGAAAAAAAAACAAAAAACAAGCAAGTCCTGTCCGCGTATACCTGACTGAGTGGAAATTGTTTTTTAATTAGCTGACACGGGTGGATCATTGTTCTGACAGTGTGGGCTGTTTTATTATTTTTACACCAACTTGTTGTGGTTCACTGAATGATCTCCAATTAGAGGAGAAATCCCAATTTTTAATTTACCCTTAAAAAATGTACTAAAGATGCTATTAGAATATGGAAAACCGCATAATTGTAGCGGCTTGAAGGTTTCCGTCTTATTTAAGTATAATAACGGCTATTTTTCCGCATATTTATTATCTAAACATCCATAAAATTGATTGTTTCTGTTTAAAAAATAAGTTTTATTTGCTGCTAAACGAGGCGTGAGTTTTTCCGCCATCGTCATGAAGTGGCGTTCATTGCAGTGCATGGCTGAGTGGGCATCACGCAGGGGCGGGGTGGAGGGGGGGCATGTGGTGTCCTTGGCCTCCCTGTTTCCTTTATGGGACCCAGATGGGCAGCGGGACTGTCCGACCATGTGGTCACCAACTCCTCCTCCCCCCTTTTCCTCTATTTCCTAAAGCCATCCACGCTTTTCCTTTGGTTTTTTTCCTCCTGTGTCCGTGAAGCCTTCCTGGTATTAATTATAAATCAGGAATGTTGGATATATTTTGGGGATGTTTGGAGGTTTTTAGCTTTTGCTTTGAGGCGGGACGCCTTTCATTCAGTCCACTTTAGAGGGGAGGCTGCATGTGCTGTGCAGGAATCTCTGACAGAACGTGTTAATGCGCTCCCTCGGGGATGGGTTTGTGGTTTTTATGTCTTTCTACTGCGGGTTGCGTGTGCATAAAAACGGTTTAAAACTGTTGCTTTTTAGCTCTTGTAGGGAGGAAGATGTGATCGGCAGTGACAGCTCTCGCTTTCCACAGCCGCCTCAGGAATCCTGGGCAAACTCTGGTTCATTTTGAGTTGATTCCTGCAGCATGGATCTGTTTCTGGTTTAGAAATGTGTCACATCGTCCACCTCCTTCAACAGTAGCTGCGTCTCCATCGACTACATAGTTGCACAAATTGGAATTACAAAAATAAATTTGCTTAAGTAAAAAACAACTCAAGTTTTTTGATAAAAAGCTTTTGTACTGATGTATCAAAATTAGTTTATTTCACAAAGCTGCAATGGAAACACTTTTTTGCATCACATGAATCACAAAATCAAAGGGATGCTAATAGTGACGAAAATGGCAAAGAAGACGACAGGAAGTGGTGGGAGGATGATGGCGTGTCACGTTTTTTAGTGACTTATCCCACGAACAAACTTATTCACGTGTGTTTTTAATTGCATTTCTTAGTTAATGGAAACAACACAATTGCAAAATTGTGTTTTCTTTTCTGCACTAGCAGAATATCAGCAAATTTTGTAATGGAAACGCAGCTGGTGTTTCTGTATTTCAACTATGTGTGCACTGATTGGACTTTTTAAAAAGCCTGACTTGCTGATTCCGATTTTGGTTGATGCAGATTTTTTTTTTTGGTCTGAAATGTCGCTAAATAGAGAAAGAACGTTGTCGAGTGGGCAACAGTGGGGTGGTTAATGTTAACTGCAAACATGCAGACGTGACCTGGCGCAGGTCAAATGCCTCTTTGCTGAGGTGGATAAGATCGACTTCAAATATAAGTATCTGCCGATCACAGAGCTCTCAAAAGAAAGGAAATCGGAGTGGATTTATTGAAACTTTATGAATAGCTGGACTGAAGAGTCTCCAATAAAGATTAAACAAAAATCATTACTGTAAAATAACAGAATTACTCAAAATTACATTAAATAATGTCACGTTTAGATCTAGAGAACATGAGAATCTACAATCCTGTTTTTCTCTGATCAGAATGTGAGAGATGGGATGAAGATGGTTGTTGCGTCCCATCCAGATCAGTAGATCCGTGTGTGTGTGTGTGTGTGTGTGTGTTTGCGCTCATGTTTTTGGAAGTGGGATCTCGTCGTTGAAGCCGGCAGGTCTCAGCAGCCTGGATAACCGGAGCTTAGCTTCAGTGAAGCAGCCGAGCGGAGCGAAGCGAGGCAAAGCCGATGCAGACGACCACCACACACACTCTCTGTCTCTCTCTCTCTCTCTCTCCCTCTTTATGTTTGTTTCTCTCTCTATCTGTGTGTTTTCTGCAAATACGGCCCTTGTTGTCTTGCCTTTAAGCACCATGTGTTATGTGCTATCTCCCGTCCGCACCTTGCCCCTCTGACAGCTTGGCACAACCTGGCGTTGGGGGGTTGAGGGGTGGGGGCGGTGGTGAGGGGGAGAGAGATGGAGGAGGAAAGCAGGGAGGGGGTGAGGGGTAAAAGGTAGGAGGGGTGCAGCAGGTGAGGTGGGCATCACCGAGGGATTATCTGTGTTTTCATGTTCTTCTGTCTTTCACCTGCTCACCCAACTCTGACCGGCTTAGCATCAGCAGCAGAATCCCAACTCAGCCATCTCTGCTGCTGCTGCAGGTCCGGACCGGATCGCAGCGACCCGATCAGAAACAGATCGTTCACTCACCAGTCTGAGGTTCGATGGCAGAAATATTGTCAGGTTTCTGTCGTCCGTCATTAAAGCTGCAAAGAAAAGCTTTAATGAGATTCATCCCAACTCCTCTTTCCAAAGTGCTTCTCTATATTATATCAAATTATATAATTTGTCTTGGGATGTTTGTGCATTAAGTGCAACATTTTACGTTATAAATATAAATAGCAAGTAGTGAATCAAAAGCGGCGTGATAATACACACATTTATAATTGCTGAACTTTATACTTGTCACTCTTTCCCTTTTTTCATTTTGACATGAAATATAAAAGTAAATTCTCAGAGACTGGGATCGACCAATTCTTCTCTTCATTGTTAGATTAAATACTAAAACCTTTACCTTATTTTCCCCATATTCATTAAATGCAGCTCTGTTTCTGATGTTTATTCTTGTCAGCTAACAGCAGGTACTTTGTTGCACTTTAGAGTTTGATAAAAAAATCTCCAAAATGTTTGCAACATGTTTTGATCCATAAACGTTATTGAAAAATCTTTATTTTACTCTATAATTACAAACCAACACCTCTGTCATAAACTTGAAGCTCGTTATTTCAGAATGTATCGTAATTGGTCAAAATCAGGATCGGCTGATCGGGGCCAAAAAAAATGGCTGATCAGCACATTTCTAATCCTAATCAATGTCTTTTAGTCAAATGTATTGCAAATCAGAGGATGAATGCAAAGAACTTGAAATATATCAATTAATCTTTTTTTAAAAAAGTGAGCTTTCTTCTCTGCTCATTAAATGCATAAAATCTTGTAATTTCCTCCATTTTGAGTTGTTAAATGCATCAACCAGCAGTATGCACTGCGATGCCATTTGTTTAATATGGATTGGGGTTAAAGTTTGAAGAATAAATGAAGATAATCTTAAACCGACCACCTCATCAAGGAACCCTGAACATTTTGATCTGATGACAAACTGGTGTTGGATCCTGAGAAGGCTGTTTGGTGCATCGAAGGACAGTAAACATCCATGCAACTCGTCTAATATAATGTGGTCATGCAGACGTTAATAATCTGATTCATTTTGTATCAAAGTGAACCTTTAGGATTGTAAATATAGATATTGCCATGATTATTATGATTTAACGTTGTGCAGGCCAAACTTTGGTGTACTGTATCCTTTTCCATCAGGAACTTAAGACAAATTAGTTCCTCACTCTTTGATCACCATGTCACATTATGATTTGAAGGGCTGTGTAATAATATCGATTTTGCGATATATATTGATATTTTCTTTCCTAGAAAAAAATCGATAGTCATCCACAAGTATCAAGTATCGTAGCATCCAACTGTGACCTTGCTCACTCACTGCTTGCTTCACTGGGAGAGTGATTAGGTCTTCAGGCTTAGAGTGATTCCTTCAGATGTTAAGTGTCAAGGTTAAAAAGGTATCAAACTATTCAGAGCATGGTAGTTGGTGCACTTTATTTACTTTACAAATGCATGTAAGCTACAGTAAGCTACTGTTTCAATTAAAAGAAACATGTTTTCTCACCACTTCTTTGATTCATTTTGTCCAGCTATCAACTTTAAGTCTGTGTCCATGTCCAACCAGAGCCAGGTATTGTGTAGATGGTGCTTTCAATCAGTTTTCAGTTAAATTAATTCAATCCAACTCTATAACAATCACAATATGTCACCAAAATCACTCTGTCCCTCTAAAATCTTTCAGAAAATCGCAAAAGTGTATTAAATTGTATTGTTTGCTGAATATCGCAATATATATGGTATCGTGAGCAGAATATTGTGTATTGTATGGTATCGTGAGATTATTGTATCACTACAGCCCTAATGATTTGTATCTTATCTGTATTTCTAGGTAGAAAGCTACAGTTGGTTCAGTTTCTGTAAAGAAGAGGTTGAAGTGTTGGATCTGGTCAAAATTGAAGATGTTACTCTGACTCTTCGGCTGTTTATCTCTGAAACTATGAAGTTACATTATTTTTGTTTTTCAAATAATTTCACGCGTTTTTGCTCTTCCTGCAACTTATTGCTTACATTTTTTTCTCTGTCAGCAAAAAAATTGAGACAAAGTTTTATTTGATAAGTGTTATCTTTTTATAAAGCAGCATTCCTTTAAAACACATCTTTACAGAAATGTTCCTTACTTTTGGAAAAGATAAAAATAATATGCATGAGCACTTTAATGCATATTTTAATATCTTTGTCCGGTTTTCTCTGGATGTTATTGTTATTTGAATGAAGTGATAAGCAGCTGCTCTGAGGAATCCATAGCAGGATTAGAGTGGTAAAGCTTTCCTGTATTTATCAGTT